CAATGTATCGTTATCTCAGAGGGGGAGTCTGAGCCTCAGAGAAGTTGAAGTCAATGTTCAGGGTCATACAGCTGCTAAAGGCCTGAGCAGGATTTACACTCAGGTCAGGCTGCTTCTCCGAAGCCTGGGCGCTTCCCACGCCAGCGCTAGCGAGGAACAAATGGATTATTTCTCAGTCTCTCTACAGCTCCAGGCTGAGCTGGATCATGACCCTCCGGCAGTGTGATTAAGCCTTGTTCTTTGTCTGGAAGTTCAGCCTGTGGCCCCACCCTGTGCCCCCACCAGAATTTCGCTATAAACCAGCTGTCTTTATCTTTTAAAATCTTCAGTGACAAGGCCATTTGTAGGGGCAGGGTCCTAACCCAAAGGAGCAAAGCTCTGCCAGTGGAATTTCTAGTGTAGGGGGAAGTTTTGCTGGGGAGGGTCCTCCGACTTGCTAAGAGGGAGGACTGTGCTGACAAGAGCCCATGTTGGGCTGAAGAGGGAGGTAGAGATTAAAATGTCCTAAAAAATCACCTGGGAGGCGGTTACCAATGCAGATTCCGGTCTCCATCCCTGTAGAGTTTGATTGAGCAATCTGGGGTGTGCCTGGAAATCTGAATTTTTAAACAAGCCCTAAAGGTTTTTGATGTGAGTGGTAGCAGACCAACAAAAAAAATCCCTAAATGGGTTTTACAGGACAAGGAAATCCTGTACAACAAGACTTTCCTTAATGCACCTGAAGATCACACTTGTTTAGATTCATCACACGCTGACTGGTACTGAGCTGAATACTTGAAATCCTTCACTTTTTTATATGTGCCGAGGCAGGTGTTTTCTTGGACCGCAAAAGCACATCCTGACGTTAAACTCTCTTCAGACTCACTTCTTAAATGTGTCCTTTCCACCTAGCCTGACCAAACCTTTCGGATTTTATCATTCAGTGTATTTCCTACCCCGCTCAGCTTTGATGGTCTGCAAATTTGAGAATTCTACCATCCACATCTTCATCTCTGACAAACACGTTGAAGGGGCCAGGCCCAGGCTGGATGGGAAGCTCTCTCCATGCTGTCACAGGCTTCCAGGCCCGTGCCCTGAGGACCCCCATGTCCTTGGACATGTCCAAGGACACATGGCCGGCTCCACCCTGCAGGTCTCCATCACAAAGGCTGCAGCCACAGAGGCTGCGCACATAGGGTGTCCCCCCACCATCCCATCAGGACACAAAGGCCACCTGGATCAGGCCCTAAGCTCACTGCTTACTGCATTTTGGATGCACAAGCCCATCTTTCCACGGTGTATCCAGAACCATGATGTCAAATTCACCAAAGGGTAGAACAGGTTTCTCTCTGCAGTCCCTTCTGAGACCAGGGCCTGCCTCGGCATCTGTGCCGCAGTTGGCCATCTTGAGTGGCTAGGCCAAGAGACCTATGTCCGTGTTTGTGACCCATGAGAGGAGTTGGGATGGGTGGAGAGTGGGGGGCAGGAGGGGAAGGCAGACGCTTGTGAGAATTCAGTTTTCCTCACGGATAAGAGGCTGACGTCGGAATTAGCTGGAAGCCTTGGAATGCAATTCCTCCTTTCCTGCTGGTGGAGGGGGCTGAACCGCTGCCTCAGGCTTCCTGAGGAGGAACTCGAGCCCCTGACTGGTTACTGCATGCGTGCGTGCGTGCATGCGGGTGTGAAGTCGGGAAAGAGGGGAAGAGAGGGGCTCTGGTGACTTCAATGTTCTGGGCCTGTCTGGGAATACAGAGCCCGGAAATTTGATCAGGGACTGAGGAGTGCCAGACGCTTCCCACATTTCTCTGAGGGCTTTCTCACCAGGACTCGGGTTTCTTTGGAGTATCCTTCCCCCTAAGCGTGTCCCCCACTCTAATGGTGGGGGTGGGGTCAGGAAGCAAGCCCCCCCCCATGCCTTAGTTATTCTGCCTAGTGGTCTCTGAAACCACCATCAGCTGCTGGAAGGGAAAAGGGGGTGGGTGTTGGGGAAGAGCCCCCCCCAGCACCCTCAGAGCACTCCACCGGGCTGGCGAGGTCCAGTGCTGGGTATCCCTGGGAAAGGAGGAAGTTTTCCCTTTCTGGGTTCAAGTTGTCCTTAGCCCCCGTGGAACCGTCTCATGCTCCCTGAGGGCAGCTGTTCTGGAACTAACCCCTCCCTCTCTGCCTGCCACCCCTGTGGTCTCTGGCTCCCTGACTCAAGCTCTTTTAGGGGCAGGAGTGAGAGTGGCCACCTCTCAGCCATTACTGGGGGGCACTGGCCCTCCCCATGCCTCAGCTGGTGCCCAGTGGTCAGGAGCACTTTGCTACCCAGGCCTGCCCGACAGGAGCTAAAGGCAGTAGCGGCTATGGCAGAAGTTTTGGTGTGTAAAAAGGAGAGAACATGGAGGTAGCTGAGAGCGGAGAAAAGAGGAGACTGCATCCTGGCTTTTTGGGGGTCAGGATCTGTAGCCGCACAAGCAAGTGGCCCTCAGGGACTCAGCTCTGAGCCACAGCTGTGCCTGCCCCAAGGAGGTGGGAGAGGCCTCTCACCTCAGTTTTCCACGAGGTAGAAATGGGGAACTGAGGACAGACATGAACAGCAACCAAACCTCCTTTATGCCTAGCATGCTCCCCGGGAAAGTCAGGGCCCTGGGTTCAGGTCTACTTTGTCATAAGGTGTCTTTGGGGGGCTTCTCTATCTTGTGGATGTGGGCTGCTGTGACTTCACGGTGAAGTGCCAGGGGTCTGAGATGCCACAGCATAAATGGGGTTCATCCTCCCAAGGTCAGGTTTGCCAGATTATGGGAGGAAAAACTATCATCAATTAAAGAAAAAAATTTTTTAAGTTTATTTACTTCAAGAGAGAGACAGAGTGTGCGAGCGGGGGATGGGAAGAGAGAGAGGGAGAGAGAATCCCAAGCAGGCTCCATGCTATCAGCGCAGAGCCCAACACAGGGATTGAACCCATGATCCGTGAGATCTTGACCTGGGCTGAAATCAAGAGTCAGATGCTAAACCAACTGAGCCACCCAAGCGCCCCCTATCATCATTCTCATACTGAAACAGCCATGTATACGTTACGAAATTGAAAGCATCATTCACACCAATTTTTAAGAAAATACAACATTTCAAACAAATCTCAAACTTGGAGCCCTTTCAAGCTATGGTCCCCAGAGGCTCATTCTTTACTGCTTTCAGACAAATACTCAAGCCCTCTGTACCTCAGTTTCTTCATCTGAGTAGTGGGATAACGGTACTCCTACACTTAACAAGGAGTCTGTGAGGGTAAATGGAGGTGGGGTGTGAGGAAAGGATGGACAGAAGCAGGCATTTCCTCCTCTGTCCCAGCCGCTTTCAGGGCTCTAAGTGCTGCTGTCCCAAGAGAAAACTCTCATTTAATGGTTCACTGGGCTTCCCCCAGCTGAGCTGGGTGTGACAATCTCTGTCTCCTGGCCATGTGCCTGGTCACCCAGTTGTGAATGGCCTGGAGACTTCCTGCTTAAGTCCTCTCCACGATGGGGACGGTCTGATGCAGGGCACAGGGATCTGGGAAGGGTTGGGCATCCCCCAATACCCATCCCTTCCTCCGTCCCAATACCCCTTCCTCAGTCACTGAGTCTGGAGAAGCTGGAGGGAGAGGGGGCTTGGAGGAAGGGATGGGGTATTCCTTCTTCCTGAGGCTCAGAGTACCAGAAGCATTTCCAGTGCTATACCTAGGAAGGAGGTTCTGAACTGCCAAGCTGTGGGCTGAATCTGGACCCTACCTATGTTAGTGTGGCCCACAGCATACTTTAAAATTTGGAAAACCCACCTAAAAAGCTGAATTTATTTCTCATTTATTTAGAGCTTAGGCCTGACCAGTTTGGCCCATAAGACACTAACGGGCCAGAGTAAGCAGTCACTGCTATGTTCACAGCAGACTTTGCCACAGTCCCCACCACTCCCTGATGCCTCCCCCTCCCCCCACCCCAGGCCCACCTGTCCGGCTCTTCCATTCACAACAGCTGTCAGCAACTGTGGGCAGGAGAGGGTGTTCTCTGCATCTCCTGTGAGGAGAGATGTTTGGTCAGCTGGAGCATGACACCCATAGCCCAGAACATGCTCTTAATTTAAAACTGGAACATTTCTGATGCTCTGGAGTGGCTAGTGAGAGTCAGGTGGCAGGGAAGGTCAGGGAAGCCAAGCGGGGTGGAAGGTTCCAGGTCCTCCTCTTCCTGCCTCCGTGGGTCACCATCGGCCCCACATGCTGCCCTGTGCATTGCAGGGGCCTGGGGGCTGTAGGCATAGATCCCCAAGGGAATACAGTTCTGCTGGGGCTACTGGAAAAGAAACCAAATGGTCACATTATCCATTATTTGGATTCCTGACTCTAGTGACCAGTCTCCTACACTGTCTGGGGTAGGTAGGTGGCAGTGTCAGTGCTGACACAGCCCTGCTTCCCTGAAGGGAGTGGGCCTCCGTGTCAGGCTGGCAGTCCCCACTTCCCAAACCTCTCAGATGGGGGGTGACCACAGCGGTGAGGTCAGGGCCCCTCTTTGCCATTCATTCATTCATTCATTCGCTCATTTATTCAGTTCATACTTGTAGAGCGCCTCCTCAGAACCAGCAAATGCCAGAGGCACCACTTCCTCCTGAGCGACCTTGGGCAAGTCACAATCTCTGCACCCACCTCTCTCATCTGTAAAATCAGGGCATCCGTAGCATCCGCCTCTGAGGGTTCTTAGGAAGATCAAATGACACGATGCTGTCTCGGCATGGAGCTGTACGCAGTAGGCGCTCAATAAAAGGTATCCGTGTCCCCAGTACTACGACCACTAAGGCTGGTCAGCTCTGACCTCTGTGGCGTCTTGCCGCCTCTGGCCTCCCCGCTCTCCTCCCGCACTCGAGTCTGGACCCCAAAGCCGGCCCGCCAGGTGCACAGAGGCCCCATTCTCCGGACGCGCGCGCGGCCCCTCGCCCCTCGCCCCTCGGGGGCACCCTGCCCGCTGACCCGGCGACCCCGCCGTTTGCGCGGGCAAAGAGGGGCCTTTTGTTCCGGGGCCGCCCGCCCGGGCCGCGCGGCTCCCGCCCTAATCCGGCTAATTACCGTCCACATGGCGGCGGCGCGCGCTCGCCCACCGCTTTCCCACGGCCGCGAAGAAAGCCCCTCAGTGCGGCGCCAGAACAGAGAGCGATTCAGCCGCCGGCCCCGCGCCCCTCCGCCGCCCCCTCGCTGCGTCGTCTTCGCTCTTGTCCTCTGGCTCTCTCCGCCTGTCGCTCTGGGCTGTCCCCGCACTGTGTCTCTCTGATCCTTTCTGTCCCCCTCCGTCTTCTGTCTCTCTCCTTCTGCCCTTCTCTGCCTGTCCCCTCTGAGGCCTTCCGTCTGTCTCTCTGCTCCCTGGATCTCTCCCCCAGGCCACGGTTCAACGTGCCTGCTCACCTTGGGTCCATCTGGGGTCGCAGTGTGCCTCAGGCCCTCCCTTCTCTCCTTTCTGGGGACCCCAGGGTCCAAGCCCCTTCTAAGTGTGAGGAGACCAAGGATGCGCTGGGCCCACGCCATGACTTTCTCATGGTTTGGGAGGATGTTCCGGGCTCTTTCTGGTGGGAGGCAGCTCCAAGACAGTGAGAAGCATGCGAGATGTCCAGTGCCGGGCCAGGGAAGGTATGGTGGGGCTCCCACAGCAGTGTACGAGGAGGGAGCTGCGGGTGGACCCAGGATGCTCAGCTCATGGTGTCCTGTGTCCAGGCTACAAAGAGGAGCAAACTCTGAAGCAGTCCCAGCCTTGGGGGCAGCCACCAACCGCAAAGGGGTTGGCCAAGGAGAGGGTCTAGGTTGTCCTGGGCATGGGCCTAGGCCAGTCAGTCTGGACAACTGCTCTTCTAGAATTTATCGGGAGTACATGCCCAAAAGGTTCCGGGCAGGCCACCAAATGAGTCTTTTTGGCCACTTTAAGGCCTAAGAAATTCATTCATTCACTCATTTATTCATTCAACAAATATTTATCCAGTGGTTACTATGTGCCAGAAATCATTCTAGGCCACAGGGGAGAAACCAATGAGTAAAATAAAGATCTTGTTCTACATTCTAGGGGGGGTGGGAGGGCGGGGAGGAAATCTGGGTAAATAAATAAGGAAAACAGCTGTCAGATGGTAGGAAGAGCTATGGAAAAATGCTAAACCAGGAAGGTGTGTTGGGAGCTAGGTGAGGAAGGGATCAGAGGATGTCTCCCTGAGTTGGTAACACTTGAACAGAGACTTGAAGTGAGGTCAAAGTGCCTCCACTCCAGGGGCGTGACTGGGCCTACTGTTAAGTTCCTACCACAGATGCCAGGGGACTCTCCCTGGTACCTTCAGGCCCCCATCACTGGGAGATACTGAGACCCACATCGTCTCATTAAGGGGCAGTGGCCAGGAAGGGGCTGGCTGGAAGATGTATGCTACAGAAAAATTATTACTGCCCTTCATTTTTCTTGCCTTTTCCTCACCACTGTTAGGGATGTCCTGACAATGGTAACCTTTGAATGAACAGATCACAAATAAACCCTACAGCCCTGTGGGAAGGATCCTGGTCAGGGCCTGGTGGTCTGTATTCAAGGGAAAATTAGGGTCCTCCCATCTGCAAAGTGACCGAAGCCTTCTTTACATCCAGGTAACTGAGGAGAAAGGATTAGCGAGTTTTGTGAGCTCATAAATCACAAGACGACCCAAGAAAGAAAAGGTGGGAAAGTACCCTCAGTGGGCTCAGATTGGCCTCAGCCAAAGCAGGAAAACCTGGGGAATAGAGGCAGGACCGACGGATACACTGTAGGGCCCGCAGTTGCTCACAGCTGAGAATTAGGGCCCCCGGGGGACTCTGGGGCCCAAGCTAGAGCGTGCTTTCGTTAGTGTGTTTGCAAAGTGTGGTGTGTGGTGTCTGCCTGGAGGGAGGAGGCCCAGGGGACCTTTCTCAGCATCTCCCACCTGCTTACTCTCCCACCCACACTGCCCACCCTGACAGGGCCTGGTCCTGGCTGAACTTCCACAGAGTCAGTTTCTGGGGGTGGGGAGCCATGGTGGGTAGATGGTGAACAGCCCCTCATTCTGCCAAGCTGAAGTGGGGCTGGCCAGGTTTAGGGGCACAGACACCGTCCACCCTGAATCTCTTTCCCGTGGGCCGTGTCGCTCTGGGCTTTGTGAAGGAAACGAGGGCCCATAATCCCGTTTAGGATCAACTGCGGGAAACCCCAGCTGAGTCTAGGAGCCTAACCTGCCCCTCACTAACTGGGAGACTATGAGTGCACCATTGGACCTCTCTGGGCCTCAGTTTCTTCCCTTGGAAAGTAGGGATAGTAATAATAACCCCTCCTTGTAGGGTTACAGTAAAGATAAAATGAAGTAAGGATGTAAATGTGCTGTGTCAGCTAGTGACTTCCGGTCTTTTGGGACCAATATATTTTCCATTTTGACCCATTACCCACACATCTAATTGGGGTTTTTTTTTTTAATTTTTTTTAATGTTTATTTATTTTTGAGACAGAGAGAGACAGAGCACGAATGGGGGAGGGTCAGAGAGAAAGGGAGACACAGATTCTGAAGCAGGCTCCAGGCTCTGAGCTGTCAGCACAGAGCCCGACGCGGGGCTCGAACCCACGGACTGTGAGATCATGACCTGAGCCGAAGTCGGACGCTTAACCGACCGAGCCACCCAGGCGCCCCCCACACATCTAATTGAAACAAATGTTTATACTTCCCTTATTATGTTGAATGCATTGATCTATTCTATGCAGATCAAGAGGTTGGAAGTTTTTAAAAGGTTGGAAATCATGACTCATTGGGTCTCAAACTACAGTTTGAAAAACACTGCCATAAACCATGGAACGGGATACCAAAGCATTGGTGGTTTCAGCACCTGGAGAGCTGGCGGTGGGGAGAGCAGAGTGGCCTTGGGATCTGTCACCCACCCTGATCCCACGGCGGCACACCACTGCTTCTCTGTAGATGACTTGAGTTTTACTCCTCAGCCATGTCCTCTGAGCACCCCCAACATCTCCCTGCCAGCTGCAGTCAGCCTTATGCCACAGGCCAGACACAGTGTGCTTAGACTTTGAATGGGACCTGGGGTCCCATTCACTACCTTACAGAAGAGGAAACTGAGGCCCAGCCAAGGAAAGCGATTTTGTCAAAGCCACCCAGTGAGTACGTGGCAGAATCAGAAGAACTCAGGTGTCCTGCTGTCGGCCCGTGGTTTGTTTTCCCTCATGACCCAGTCTTCTGCCTGACTGAAACCCAGCCACCTGCCTCCACCTCTGCGGTTTGGGAATGGCCCCTGCCTGAGGAGAGTAGGAATAAAGCAGGAGGATCAGTCTTGGATCTATACACGTTAGCCATGTGGCCAAGGGCTTTAATGCTTCTGAGCCTCAGTCTTCTCCAGGAAGTGGGAATGAGGCTTTTACTCTTCCCAATCCCCAGGTTTGCTTTGCAGATTAAATCAGATATGTGTATGAAGAAGCTTGGAAAAACATCTAAATATACTTTAAAAGTGAAATCTTCTTGAGGGTAAAGGAATGACTGAATAGGTGGGGCACTTGTTTGTTTGGCTTTTTGGAGGGCAAAATTATTCTTTATGATATTTCAATGTTAGATACTTGACCCTGAGTTTGTCAAACTCATAGAACTTCACACCAGAGTCCATTTTAATGTGTGCAAGTGTAAAAAAGCATTTAAGAGGGTGGGAGATCCCAGGATGGAATGCAGACTATGACAAACCCATCTGTATTGTAAATATATGAAACAGCCTCACTGACGTGGGTGGGGGGAGAAGGTTCTGATTTAAGTAACTCTGGAAATGAGTAAAGTCTATAAGACTAAAAGCAGAAGAACCTCTAAGCACTGCACTCTAGTCGATAAAGTCATTTCCCATGCAGCGTGGGCTAACAATTCTGAAACCACCATGCACGTATATTGGAACAGGACAAGCAGTAAATGGATGGTGGGTGACAGGAGCCACGTCCCTCACTGAAGGAGTGGGAAGCGAGAAATGACAGGCAAGCAGAGAGAGAAGGCTAGAGTGATGCTCATGATCATGGGTTGGAGTTATAGACATTAGTATGAACTCAGGTTTACCTTAATAGAGACACAGATGGTTACATATAGAAATATTTATGGATGTGTGTATAGACACACAGGTTAGTGAACACACATATATTTCCTTGTTCTATCAGCGGAGAGGGCCTGGAAGCAATGATACCCCGGTAGCAATGGGCACACTTAGTGCTCAGATCTTGGTGTCTAATACCATTCTCCAATAAAAGGAACCAGAGCTCCTTGGAGAAATGGCTGATTCTAGGTTGGGGGCAGGACATACGCAAGATGAACCTGAAGCATCTTGTAGTGCCAGAAAGTAATGAAGTGCTAGAAAGAGAGAGGGAGAGGGAGAGAGAGAGAGAGAGAGAGAGAGAGATGGGATTAAGTTCAAAGGGGTGCAGGGGCCAACTGTAAGAGCTCCAGTGACCATAGCTGGAACAATTTTGAACAACGAAATAAATAAATACAGTAGTGTTTGATTATTACCCAAAGTATAAAATAAGTATTCATGAGCAAATGGTTAACTGAATAAATAAATGGGGGAGACGAGACAAAACTCTGGTGCAGAGGCATTCCAAGTGATATATGTGGACACTTTGTCTTCAAGGAAGAACGTAGCTGCCCACTCCTTAAACATGGGCTGGGCAGAGTGACTTCCTTCCAAACACTGCAGTCTGGAAACACTCCCTCAGTGAGGCGATCCAGATTAGTATGGAAGGTGATAAGTAATATTGATAGAACATACCCTGGATACAATGTGATGAAAATGGTGTCCTCCCCCAAACTCATAACCCCAGTCTCACCTGGGACCAGGCGAGTCCCAGCTGAGGGCCATTCTACAAAGTACCTGATAAGTACTCCTCAAAACTGTCAAGATGATCAAAAGCAAGGGAAGTCTGAGAAACCGTCACAGCCAGGAGGAGCCTAGGGAGACACAACAACCAAATGTAATGTGGTGTCCTGGAAAAGAAAAAGGACATTAGGTAAAACCAACCAACCAACCAACCAACAAAAAAACCCTAAGGAAATCTGAAGCAAGTATGGATTATACTTTAATGATAATGTCAGCAATATTGTAAGGCTGATTAATAATAATGTATCAATATTGGTTTATTCATTGTGACAAATGTCCCATCCCAACATAAGATGATAGTAATAGGGGAACTTGGGTGTGGAGAATATGGGAACTTGGTACTATCTTCACACAGTTCCTGCATTCTAAAATGAAAATTTTGTTTTAAAAATTAAAGACCTTGTGCTTATAGCCAAGATGAGAGGAGCGGGGAGAGTGCCTCTGGGAAGGTTTCCAGGAAGTACAGAGAGGACTTTGGGAACCGGTCAGGGTTGAGAAACAGCTTGGGAGGCAGGGCCAGAAGGAAGGTCCAGAAGGAAGGTGCCCCAGCCTGAGAGGAGGCATGAGAAGGAAAGGATGCCTTGGGATGGGGTGTCTTGGAGCCCTGCCCAGAGGGCAGGAGGCTTCCCAGGAGGGCTTCTGGAGGAGGTGAGTGGGTGAGGAGTGATAGCCTGGCTCCATGCCCTCCTACCACTTCTCAGCTGACCTTGTCATACGTCTGAGGCCAGCCCTGCTCTTCATTGTGGGAGTTAAGAGTTCAGCTCTGGAATCAGAGGAACTCTGACACTTAGCAGCTGTGTGACCTTGGATAAGGCTAACACCCTCTCTGCGTTTGAGAGTCCTCACCTATAATAACTGGCGAGAAAATTTATGTTCAAGGGTTGTTGTAAAGGTAAACTGAGATAATGCCCAGGAGGGCCAAGACCTGGCACATACTGGAGACTTTATTGGTCCATGTGCTACAGTCCACGTGCCTTCCCTCTGATCTGCCCTGAGCAAGAGCTAACAGTCAACAGCTTCTCTTTCATTCCTGGCATCCAGTCCTTCCTTTGGATGCCAGGTCCAAAGTGGCAGTTTTAAAGCGTAATCCCCAAATTCTGACACTCTTTT